ACGTTTACGTTAACGTAACCTACCTCTCTCTCTCTCTCTCTCTCTCTCTCTCTAGCACTTTTCTTGCAGTTAAACTGATTCCATATCAACTTATTGACTTTTCGATTGTTTCTCCATGATTCACACTCCATGCCCAGAATTAAACTTCATAAACGTCAATCTGATGCTCACATCGATCACTCCTAAACAAACTAATAATGATATCTCACTCCTCACACCTAATCTCAAATAGCATGGGTCCCCATCGACATAGTAAAATCCCATTCAAAAAACCAAAACATCATAAAAAAAGACCAAAACCTTAGTCATTGATTAACTTTTTGTGGACTTTCATTTTTAAAAGGTAACCGAGCATTGATTCATGAACTTGTAACATATTATCCAAAGAATCTCAACCCTTCCCTTCATTAACATTATGTACATCTTCTCAACTGATCATATAACAAAATAAAACACAGATTTGCTCCCCCACATGCATGACATCTCCATTTCTAAACTCCACATCCCAACTCTCTCTCTCTCTCTCTCTCTCTCTCTCTAAGAGGTTACTAATACCACCTCCAAGAAAATAAAAAAGAAAAAAATCATGTGGGCCCACCATATCCGTTCTACATCACAAAATTCCGGCAAAACGAGATGAACGCCGGCAAGCGAAGACTGAAGAAATATATTTGACAGGGATATACACTTCATGGGGCCAACCCTTCTCACCATCCAAATCTCAATCAAAATCATCATTTGCCACCCAATCTCGACCTAAGAAACAGCTTTCCCATTTATCTTTGAAGAACCCAATATTTTCCCCATCATGGAAGACCCAAACTTTCTTTTCCCATTAAATTACAACTAAGCATTTTTTCCAGGTCAAAATTCCAGAAAAATGAGGGCCATAACCTCAATCATCGTCTGATAAGTAAACCACTTGAGGCTGAGAAGAAACCCCCATGTCAAAAGCAAGATTGGTATCCAAGAACGAGGATAAATCCTGGCTGTTGGTGCCTGGCAAATCGACGTTCGCAAGCGACGATGGGTCCATCGCCTGAGTGGACCCGACAGTACTCAGAACCCGAAATTGTGGGGAAACCAAGTGCGGCATCCCCATCATTACAGGGATTTGGGCCCCTAAGTGAGTCGAGTCCAATTGACTAGGAAAAGGGACAGGGTTAAATGGGGGGAGCTGACCGGTCCCACTGCTTGACAAGATATTAGGGTTTGGTGATGGAGGCCTTAAGAGGCTAGGGCTTTGAGGACGGGTGGCCCGTTGATCTAGAGCTTGGTGGGGCCATTGGTGCTGGGGAAACAATTGATTTGTGGGGTCCACAGATGGTTGGGGACTTGAATGGTAGGGTCCACTAGGGTTTGGATTTGAGGGATGGGGAACAGAGGGTGTGGCTAGAGGATGCATTGGCCTTGGTACTGGCTGATGAGAGTGCAGGAGAGAAGAGGGATTTCCTGCAAGAGTTGAGAGAGTGTGGGAGAGTAGCAGTAAATGACAGGTCGATATATTGATGAACTATTTGCTAATGTATATGGAAAGCATAATCCATTGTCCGAGAGTTTACTATAGCCCTATGGACTATGGTAAGCATGATTGATTGGGATCATCACAGTCCCATAAAATGATGGATGGTGATGGAAAGTGGGAACCATTAAAATAGGAAGGCAACACTCTTTCCATAACCGTCCATTGTTCATTGGAGAGTGATGAGCCCAACGCACCATGTTATCCAACTATAGCATGTCTTCTCTTAGTAACATACTTCATGTTGTAAACTTTCTCACTGTATGACCGCAAAAAATTTAGACATAATTCATAAAAGGCTGCGGTTTGTAAAGACCCGAGGCTCTAAACAATCAAAGTAAAGTGCACCTTCAAATAGTGTCAAGAAATGTGCTTTCAATACTGAAAATCTATGTGATAGCCTCAAAATATATTTTCATCTCTAATTATAAAATTTAAAGCTTCAGAAATAGTGCAGATCGAGCATATCTATGAAAATTAAAAATCTTGAAAATTGATAGTCCAAAATACATTACATGATCCACTATTTCCAAGACTTGAAATCCATTTTTTTCTCATGTCCATGGATCTTGAGGTCGAGATGATCAATTTGAGAATATTTGGGTATCAAAACCACCTCTTTTAGTGAAATTCTTGAGATGCGCTCTAATTTGATTGTTTAGAGCCTCGCAGTTGTATAAACTTTTTCCTTCCTAAAAAAACTGAATCCTCTCCAGTTAAAAAGATTGTCCATGAATCAAATCGAGGTGATCTATACTACTTTTACTTTATCAATAGAACCTACCATACTTACAAAAAAGGACTTCATACGCAGTGATGAAGTCCGAGTATCATGCAGTTATACAAGTTCAAACAAATGAGTTCTATCTATAATTCATGAAAATAGGATACCTATATAAATACCATAGAATTTACTGAACTTACACTCAAAAACCAACTATGCTATTCATTTCTGAGAAGTTAAACTACTTTATTCCGTGCATATTTTTATAATTCTATAAGCATGTTCCCACATACACACAAGGATTCCTGTTCCCTTTTGAACACCACAAAGGGCTATTTGTGAGCAAGAAACCTGGTCAGAATCAGAACTCAATACTTTCAAGCTATCACAGTATGTTGGGTAACTTGGACAATATGAAACCCTGTTTGTCAGTCCAGATTTTCTTGCTCAAGTCCTCACACAAGTGACAACCTTTGCAGTCCAACACAGTTAAGTTCAGTATGTCAGGACATGAACAAAGGGAGACCATATCACTCACAGAGAGAGAGAGAGAGAGAGAGAGAGAGAGGAGACTAGAACTTGCTTCTTAAGAAATTCACTACGTGGGTAGGGTCGCCTGCACGAGCGAAGGGTGACTATTTGAGATCATGACAACCTAAGTCTTAGAATCGCCTCACGCC